ATGGGAGAGTGGTTGAGGGTACAGCAGGACCCCTCCGAAGCCAGCGCCTAACAAGAACCTTGCACGGATTGAAGCGTGTTTCCTAACTATGGGATCCTCCAGGCCCAAACCCTAAGCACCCTAAACCCTAACCCGCAGGACCCGAAACCAAGAATTGCTCCTTGATGTACTGCTCGATCAGAAGAGAGTAGGTCTCCGAGTGAATGTTCTCCATGGCCTGTGAGTTTAGGTTTTAAGTATGCTTAAGCCCTAAACCCTAAAACTCTAAATCCCTAAACCCTAAACTCTAAACCCTAAACCCTAAACTCTAAATCCCTCTAAAGCCTCAACTCTAAACCCTAAACCCCAAACCCTAAGGTGGTTTAGGGTTCAGGCGATTGTGCTGGTCCCGAGCTCAGGAGTTGAGGTTGGAAGGACTCCTTCAAGGATTCGGAGGCTTACGCTTTAACCCTAAACTCTGAACTCCTGAACTCCTAAACCCTACATTCCTAAACCCTAACTCCTAAACTCCTAAACCCTAAACCCTTAATGAGGGCCTAGAGCTGAAGCAGCAGATGGGCTTTGGGCTGCGGGTTTCTCATGTCAGGGATACGAACTTGGTTCAAGCGGTGGTTTGCTTTGGGAAAGTAGTGCACAGGCCAAACCACAAGCCTCTAAGACACTAAAACTCCCTCCCAACCCTCCCCTTCACCGAAAGAACAAAAACGAAGCGGCGAAAGCCAGGGGCCCTACCATCTGGAAGCCATAGAAGGCCCGCGCCTGTCTCGCGTCTCTAGTGTACTGGCTTACGCTTCAGGGGATCTTTCCGGCGAGGATCCTGTGAATTCGGGGTTCTACACGGGTCTCTGTCTAGTGAGGATCTGATTACTGGCCGCGCGTCTCTTTTTGCGGTTCCTAGAAACCCTTATGAGGATCCCTACAACTTTGGGTCTTTTCTGGGTCTCCTGTCGCGGACTTGGGGCGCTTGCTGGTTGGCCGGTAGGGTTTAGGCCTAGGCATGGTGTTGCTTTGCTCAGACTCGTATCAACACCTCCTCGGGGCATAGGCTCTGTTAAGGGAACTCGTCGTGACAGGACTCGTGGGTCGAAGGGTGACAGGCAGAGGAGCCTGGTAGATGGTCCGAGATGGCTGCAACCTTTTTGGCTGGTGCCTTGTACTTAGAAGAGGACCAAAAGGCGCCCAAAAAAACGGTGTTTACTAAGTATTCACCAGGCCCTAAAAAAGCCGACAAGAGGCTGCTACTCGGAGCTCGGGAACCTGAACTCCAAGGCCCCTACAGCCTCTAAACCCCCGAAGCAGACTCTGAACACTACACCACCACACCCCTGCACACGAGGTCTTCTGGTGGTCCCCTTGCAGTAAACAGCAGCGCGAGTCATCGGAGGAGGAGCAGCAGCAGCAGCAGTAGAAGCACAAGTCAGAAGAAAAGCCATGAAACCGTAAACATTCTGCGTCTACTTCCTTGACACCCAAAACATCTCAAACCCTAAACCCAAAAATCTAAAACCCTAAATTAAACTCGATAATCTAAAACACTAAACCCAAAAAGTCCTAAACCTCATCAAGGAGCCCGCCTCCGGAATCTGCACTTCCGATGAGAACTGCGCCGCCAAGTTCTCCAGGACGATGCCATCGGAGGCGGCGAAGAAGGCCAGAACCTCGAACTGTCGCCGGTTTTAGGGTTTATAGAAATTGTTTAGGGTTTGGGTCCGGGGTCTTGACCGAAAGTTTTGAGCAGTTTCGTTTTTTGCTTTTCATTTTTTGGCGGGGTTGGGGCTGGGCTGGGCTGGGCTGGCTGGGCTGCTCTGGGCTGGGCTGGGCTGGGGGCTGGCTGCTGGGTGGGCTGGACTCGGCTGGCTTTGACCGAAAATATTGAGCGAAAGTTTTGACCCAAAGTGTCGTATCTTAGGGTTTAGGGCCTAGGGTTTAGGGTATAGGGTTTAGGGTTTAGAGTTGAGGGTTGAGGGTTGAGGGTGCAAGGGGGCTCTTGGGCCGCAGGGCTTGGGCTTCTGGTCGCTCCGGGGTGTCCGGTCTCAGTTGGCTTGGGTATGACGCAAGCTTTGCGGAGGCTTTGTGTCATGATATGGGTAGTTGTCTAAATTAGGGTCCCTTTTGGAAATTTTAGGGTCCTTTTCATAAGGGTGCCGTACTATATTGGGGACCTAAAAAGAAGCTACTTTAGAGAAATACCCATATGGAGCTGCAGTCGGAGTTAAAGCGCTACTCATAAAGCCCTAAACACCACATCCTAAACCCTAAACGCCAAAATAACAAATTAAATCCAAATCCCTAAAAAAAAAAAACAGACCCGTCTGAGTCTCTCGCAGACTAAACCCGAGGTCAAAGGCCAAGGATTTTGGGTTCAGGGTCGAACCCTTGTAGCAACCCTTACTATAGCAGCCTCAGAGAACCCTTATAGCAACCCTTACTTATAGCAACCCTTATCGTCCATATAGTAACCCTAGCTTATAGCAACCCTTACAGTAACCCTTATAGTAACCCTTATAGTAACCCAGTAACCCTAATAGTAACCCTTATAGTAACCCTGGTAGTAATCCAAGTTTAAGGCTTGGCCTTGAGCGCTTGGGGCGTACGGCTGAGCATCGAAGGCTCGGGGTTCAGGGGGTTCGGGTTGGCACGCAGGGTGTTTACTGGGTTCTTGTTTAGGGACTTCATTTAAGTTACTACAATAAGGTATTAGTTACAAAAGACCCTATTTTGGTAACTTAAATTAAGTCCCTTAACAAGAACCCAGTTTAGGGCTCAAGGCGTGGGGACCAGTAACAGCCCTGAAATACCAAAACCCTAGCATCCCAAAGCCTGACGTAATTCCTAAAGCCCTGAAAACCCCGAGAAACCCCAAAAGCCTCAAACCCTTCCAACCCATTCGAACACTAAAGCCAGGGCGCTTGCTTCACAAAGTTCTGTTCTACACCACCCCTGAAATCCTAAAACCCTAGGGTTTAGGGTTTAGGGTTTAGGGTTTAGGGGCCTAGGAACCCTGAAAATCCTAAAACCCTAGAGTCCCAAAACCCTACACCACTAGACCTACAGACAGAGGACGTGCTTCACAAAGTGCTGTTCGCCCTCGTTCAGGTTGCCCCAGTCTTTGTTGTCCTCAACAGGCGCATGGGACCCCTGGGTCCTCCTTATTCTTTTAGGGTTTGGGGAAAAGTCAAGTGTTTAGTGTTCAAGGAAACCATCTTATTTACTATAGACCCGGATGATGGTAACTTTGATGAAGTCCCTCAACAAGAACCCAGACGTAGGATGCTCGGCTCACTCTTTCCGGTCATCGTTAACGCCTGAAGCCCAGTTTAGGGTTTAGCGCTTTGGGCTTGAGGTTTAGGGTGTATGGTCCAGGGCTTAAGCTTTTGGGTTCAGGGTCTGGGAGTCGAGGGGTTGGGGTTTAGGGGTGTAGGGCCGGGGTAGTCGCTGCGCAGAAGACTCCCACTCTTCTAGCAAGCATCGACGGAATCTCGGCAGAGGGCGCCCCAACAGTCTCGTGTTTCTTGGTGGGCGGAGCACCAAGGGACCAAGGGACCGGATCGCTTCCACTAATTATTACGTCCTACAGACTACTTATTGAGATACTCCCCGAATCTCTGAGCCCTACTTACTACTTGCGTGTCGGAAGGCTATGTGCAAGATCAGGAGCGAGGCAGCATGAACTGGCATAGTCACGACAGCAACGACTGACTGGTTTACCAAGCCACACAGCCATGAACCTTGAAGCAACGACCCCAAAGTCTGTCAGCTTCCCAAGTGTTGCCCCCGGACGATTCAACTAACCTAAACCCCCCGAAACCCAAAATCCCCCTAAACCCTAAAGACTAAATCCCCCCAAGACATAAACCTACAGGTTCCTAAATATGATAGGGCTCCTCTGAAGGGTCCCTAAACCCTAAACCCTGCACCTTCAACCCTGAAGTGTTCCTTTCTTTAGGGGACCCCAAGTCGTTTCCCCTCCTGCGCCAGGTCGATCTCCTCGGCTGTCCAGAACGAAGCCTCTCAGCACAAGGGCTTAAGGCTTAGGGGTCATAGCTGTTTTGGGTTTAGAGTCTACGTACTCAGAGTTTAGGGTTCAGGTATTCAAGGTTTAGGTGTTCAGGGTTGAGGGTCCTAGACTAACCCTAAGCCCTCAACCCTAAACCCAAAACCCTAAACCCCAAACCCCTAAAAAGTTTAGGGTTCGGGCATTCACGGTTTAGGGTCGAGGGTCTAGGAGCAGCTCTGTGTCGGGCTTTTCGGCTTCCGACGCTTTTTCCAGCGCCGAAGTTGTGAGTCTCGGGGCTTCGGCTTCAGGAGCTTGGGCCATGACGAGGACCTTACATGGGCTTAGGGTTTAGGGTTTAGGGTTTAAGGTTTAGGGTCCAGGGTTTGGGGTTTAGGGTTTAGGGTTTTTGGGGTTTAGGGACGCCTCACGTTCTTGCGAGTCAGCTCGGAACCGCTGCGCGCATGAAGACCCTACCATACCCGGATCCTGCACCATCCTTGCAAACGCTGTGTCCGAAACCGAAACAAACAAAACAAGTCCAAGAACACAAAGGCGCACACTAAAAAGAATACAACACGCCTCGGATTCTGACAGGTTAAGGGTCTGCGGGACATGGGTAGCTAGCCGAAGCATCTTCATAAAGTTGAGAGTGCTGTCCTTAGTCCCAGGCCGTGGTCGTGTTCCTCCTGTCCGTGTCCTCATCCTCATCCTCATCTTCGTCGTCGTCCCCTGAGCCCTAAACCCTAAACACATTTTCTTAAACCCTCATTCTTGCTTTCTCGTCGTCTTCGTCCTCGTCGTGGTCAGCTTCCTAACTTCCTTGTTTCTTTACATGGTTTAGGGGTTTAGGCGGTTTAGGGTCTTGAGGTTTTAGGGTTTAGGGGTTTAGGGGTTTAGGGGTTTAGGGCTTTGAGGTCTTAGGTTTTAGGGATTAGGGTTTAGGGTGGCTCAACAGGATATTATTTGGCTGCGGCTGCACTCCCCAACCCAATCCGGAGGTCGCCTCGTGCTTCTTGTACATCTCCCAAACCTCCGTGTACTTCAACCTCTGCATGGCACCGAGGAGTCGCGATCTTTCGGGGTTAAGGTTCAGGGTTTAGGGTCTAGGGTGCAGGGTTTGGGGTTTAGGGTTTATGATGCTTCTGGGGGAGCAGAAGGATCGAACACGGAATTCCCTTCTACATGATTTGCGGGAAAAATGCTCGATGCAAAAAAACTTGTGGAAAATGGAGTGATAGCTACTCAGGACTGTTGAGTGGTGATAAAGGACTGTTGCTCCAGAGTTGCAGGCCGAAGTAAAGGATCAGGGACTCGTGTCTCATAAGCGGGGTATGATCCTTCACGGATCCCCTAAACCCCACAAGCACCCTATCAAGCAGTTGCAAACTGATGCCGTCCTAAACCCTAGACCCTAAACCCCTAAACCCCTAAACCCCCAAACCCCTAAACCCCTAAAACCCTAAACCCCTAAACCCTAAACCCCTAAACCCCTAAACCCTAGTGGCCCATGCCATGGGAACTTTTTTGGCCTTTGCAGGATGGCCCCTGCGGAGAGCCCGGACCTTCTCCAGGCACCACAGGAAGGTCTTTTAGGGCTTTAGGGCTTTAGGGTTTTAGGGCTTTAGGGCTTTAGGGTTTTCGGGCTTTAGGGCTTTAGGGCTTTACGGTTTTTGGGTTTTAGGGCTTTAGGGTTTTAGGGCTTTAGGGTTGTAGGGTTGTAGGGCTTTAGGGCTTTAGGGTTTTGGGGTTTAGGTCCCTTTATGAAGCAGAGAGTGGTCTTCGAACATAATGCATGCACCGCGCTCGCGCGGATGCCGAAAAGGCGGCAGGCACAAGCGCATGATTGACAACTGCTCCCGCTCAGCTTCAAAGGCATCCACCGGTCTCCATCTTTCGCTGCGCCACAATCGTTGCAGAGCCTTTGGTGAAGCCATGCCCACGAAGCCAGGTATGGCTCTCTTAACCCGATAAGAGATGGCCAATGCTGCTGCGACTGCTACTGTTAAGTGCAGTCCAGCCACCCACCCCTCATGAAGCCGTGGTGGGCAGCGCGGAAGAGAAACATCCCGAGTGCGTAAAAGTCCGCTAGGCTAAAGTCTTAAACCCAGGACAGAGCTTGGGGCGAGAACTGCTGCTGCTGCCCTCCTTGCACCTGACCCTTTTGGGGTGGTTGCTGCCATTGCTGGGTTGGCTGGTGCGTTGGGCTCCCCTGCCTTGCAAAGTCCCTGCCTTATCTACCCACCACTAGCTGTCACTAGCTCCGATCATGATGCTTCTCTCAAGCATGGAATCCAAGGAAGGTTTAGGAGGCAGCTTGCTTGATAAGGCCCCTCCCCAAAACAAAATCTTGAATCCCAGATGCCTGCCTGTTGTAATCACGGTCGTCTCTGATGCGCTTAGCGGGAAGACAGGTTTGTCCAAAAGGCCTCCGAACCCCAAAACTATGACGGAAGCCTTAAGCCCCAGCCAAGCCGCGGCTCAAAATCCCTTCTACATTCTGTCTCGGGCTTCGGGCGTAGGGTTTATAAGGCGCAGGCAGTTCTAGGAGGAAGGGCTTCCATTCACACCTTGCGAAGAAACATGCTATTCTAGGACGTTTTCAGGTGGGTAGTTACCGTTGTCGGAGCCTTTCGAAGGTCTATATACCTTATAGAAGCCCCATAGAAGCCCCATATACCCTAAACTCCCCACCTGTAGTTTCCTTTAAACTATGGCAGGTCAGACAACAAAGCTTTAAAGCCAAACTAACTTTCAAACCGAAGCCAGGAAAAAGAGCTTCAACCCTTAAACCGTAAACCCCTGAATCCCTAATCCTGAAACCCTGAAACCCTAAACCCTGAAAACCCTAAACCCTAAAGCCCCTAAACTCTAAAGCCCCTAAACCCCAAACGTTACAGCCCCTAAACCCTAAACCCCAAAGCCCTAAAGCCCTAAACCCCTAAAGCCCTAAAGCCTAGCTCTTTATGCCCTGCGGAAGCCCTAGGATTCCGGAACTGGACCCTCGACGCCTTGGACCGAAGATATCGTTTTAGGGTTTTGGATCCGAAGTTTCAGGGTTTTGGGTTCTAAGTTTTAGGGTTTAGAGTTTAGGGTTTTAGGGTCTAGGGTTTAGGGTGTTGGGGCTTTAGGGTTTAGGGTGTAGGGTGATAGGGCTTTAGGGTTTAGGGTCTAGAGTGTTAGGGCTTTAGGGTTTAGGGTTTAGAGTGTTAGGGCTTGGGGTTTAGGATTTTGGGCTTTAGTGCTTTAGGGTATACAGTTTACGGTTTCGGGTTCAGGGTTTAGGGTTTAGGGTTTCGGGTTTAGGGTTTAGGGTTTCGGGTTTAGGGTTCAGGAGTTTAGGGTTTAGGGTTATGGGGGTCTGAGTGATTGCAATTGGGTTTTGAAGGTTTCTTACAGCTGTAATCATACCGGCACTATAACGGGATTGACTTTCTACTGCTTCTAAGCCAAGCCACGGGAACATCACCCATCGCTGCGGGTTCTCCTGCGAACAGTTCAGGAATGAGGACTCCGAGTTTAGGGTTTAGGGTTTAGGATTTAGGGTTTAGGGTTTAGGGTTTTGGGGTTGGGGTTTAGGGGGGGGGGGGTTTGGGGGTTAGGGGGTTTGGGGGTTTGGGTTTAGGTCCTCGGGCTGTCGTAAGCCATCGAAGGGCTTAGACGAGCACAGGAAGCTGTTTTCAGGGTTTTGCCGGCCTTCACGGCGTTGCCTAAGGCTTCAAACAAGTGAAAGGCTCAAGCTTCGTTTAGGGGGGCGTCTAGGGCTTGGGGTTGAAGGTTAAAGCTCTGCAGTGGTCACCAGAGCCGTGCAAGCGAAGCCCTCATAAGCCCCCTTTGCTCTACGGGTAATGTGGATGGACTCCCCGGCGATGTGGAGCTTGCACTGTCGTACTTTCCCAGCTACCACCTCTAACTTCTCCGTCTCATCGGCCTGAGGTCTCATGCTGTGGGAACTTGGTTTAGGGCTTCACCTTGTTTTTGAGGTTTAGACCATGAAGTTCAGAACCGCTAAGGCCTCCCCAGCAAACAAAACACGAGTCCTACCATAAACCCTGAACGCTAAACCCTCTGCGAGAAAACCTTCAAGAAGACTCTGCAAAGATCCGAGCACTGTGGGTTTTTTCGGCTCATGACGAAAAGCCCCCATGGATTTCTGCAAAGTACAAACCCGAAACGAAAAGAGTACTTAGCCCCCGACACCGGACAACACATCCCTTACACAAAACCGCAGGGTTTAGGGTTTAGGGGACTAAATCCCAATCGTATTCTAAGCCCTTCTTGAGCCCCTGTTCGAACATCTCTAGACCTCTTTGCATAAGAACTGTATAGAGCCCTCATACAACCCCGTCATCAAACCCACCCCTAAAACTAAACCCTAAACCCCAAACCCTAAACCCCTAAACCCCTAAGCCCTAAACCCCAAACCCTAAACCCCTAAACCCTAAAACCTAAACCCCCCAAACTCAAAACCCCATGATCCTTGAGGATGGGATCTTCCTTCTCCAGCCGCTTGAACTCGTCCGAGACGCGGCTCTTCCTGCGGAGGGCGGCTTCGAGTGTAGGGTTCAGGCTCTAGTGTTTAAGGTCTACTAAAGTTTAGGGTTTAGGGTTTAGGGTTTAGGGTTTAAGGTCTATCAGTGTTTAGGGTGTAGGGTTTAAGGTCTATTAAGGTTTAGGATTTAAGGTTTAAGGGTTTAAGGTCTATTTGGGTTTACGGTTTAGGGTCTAAGGTCTATTAAGGTTGAGGGTTTAAGGTTTCTTTAGGTTTACGGTTTACAGTTTAGGGTTTAAGGTCTATTAAGGTTTAGGGTTTAGGGTTTGCGGGTTTCCGGGTTTAGGGGATAGGGACGGTTAGGGGCTAGGGTTGTGACGCTTTCTTGATACTGCCCATGAGCCTTCAAGTAGAATACAAAGCCCTTGCGCGTTTTAGCCCCGGGCTTCTTATATGCTAAGACCCCCAGAACTCCTATGCTCTAGATCCAGAAGAACCCAAAGCCCCGAAACCCGAAACCCTAAACCCGAAACCCTACACCCTAAACCCTAAACCCGAAACCCCAAACACACCTTTACGTTCTGGACCCTAAGCTGGGCTTTGGCGGAGGACCCTCGGGGATGACTCCACTTGGACGTTCGTCTCGCAACATTACTGTTTTCATAGGGTTTAGGGTTCCCTACATATGCGGATCTTTACCGTCAGGACCAAGAAAGACTAAGCCCTGAAACCTGAACAAAAAACCTCAAACCCTAGCTGAAAAGTCCTTGAACAGGATCCTTGAATTCATTAACCAGACGCGAAGACCTAAAACTGGCATTTGGAACCGACACACGTCTAAGTGTTTAGGGTTAAGGGTTTGAGGTGTAGGTTTCAGTTTTGAACTTTAGGGTAAAGCGGATGGTGTAGCTCGTAGGGACTTTCCTTGCTGGTAGATGGTCAACAACTTCCCGTCCACAGCTGATTACTACCACTACTACCCTGTATCAATTTGCTAGCAGTATGGGATACAAGGAGTTTTTATACCCTTAATTACTCCTAAATATCCTGAGGTTCTGCGAGAACACCATCGCGGAATAGTTCGGCTTCGTCTGGTTCAAACCCTAACATCAGAAACCTCAAAGCTCGCAACAACCCTGTGCCCTAAAACCCTTAAAGCCCTTAAAAACCTTTAAAACCTTTATTCACCCTTATCCCGAATATCCCGAAACCCATGAACCCCTTTCCAAGAAGTGAAGCCAGGAACCAAAAACCCGATCGAACCCGGGTTTCCCAAGCAAGTTGTGAAGTTTCCTGAGGGGCTCCCTTTGAGGATTTCTGAAGGCTCTTACACGGCCATCAGGCTGTACACAGTTTAACAAAAAAACGACAATTTTTTGGCCGTGTTTCTCCCTAAACCCTAAACCCTAAACCCTAAAGGGCTTTCTGCGGTTCTGTATGGATTCGGGCCTGGGGCCGGTAGGGATTTGGGCTTCGAGGGGCCTTTGGGCCTCGGCTTCAGAGAGGGCCGTAGGCCTTAGAGGCCCAAAAGAGGGTTCCGGGTTTACCTTAACACCACCCTAAGGGTCCAAGTACCCATTATTTAAGGACTTTGGGGCCTTTTTGGGTACCGAAAACCATAAATAAGGACTACTTGGACCCTTAGGGCCAAAGAACCTACCCTTTTTAAGGACTTATATAAAGAAAGTGTAATAACGAGCCCTAAAAAGGTAGGTTAATTGGGGTTCAGGGTTTGGGGGTTGAGAGACTCCCGAACCCGAAACGCCTGCGCCATAAACCCTCACTCTTGCATCGCCAATGGTCCAAGGCCTCAAACCCGAACCCTAAACCCTAAACCCTAAAGCCCTAAACCCCTAAACCCTAAGCCGACCCCATGTGCCGACAACCTTTGCAGACCCACACCCCATTACCCAAATCCGCAACCCCAAAAACGAAACCCACCCCTTTTTGGGCGGGTCTTTGGCACCACTTGCTCTTCGGCCTCCGACAGGAGGGACAGGAGGGGCGGGAGTAGGTGCTTTAAGAGAGCTTGGCCTGGGAGGCAACCGGGTTGAGGGTTTCAGGACATCGAGGCCGATGGCCTTGGAGTCTAAAGGGTTCAGGGTTTGGGGTACCCAGTTATAAGGAAGATACCGTAAATTCCCAAGGGTCTAAGGATGGCAGTAGCCTTTAGACCTAGATCCCTCGGCTCAGCACCTGCTGCTTTCTCTCGAACCCCGCAAAACAGAGGCTGCCAGCCACAGACTCTTCCAGGACCTCTAGGTTTTCGGCAAACGGGACCCTAAACCCGAAACCCTAAACCCTAAACTGACCTAAACCCCAAACCCTCAAGTTCCGGGCTTAGCCGCGGGGGCCTAGGGTCACAGCAGACTGGTGGAGTCAGCAGGACACCCAGAGCTCGGGCTCTATGCTTGGCCTTCAGACTTCCGGGTTCGATGAAGACTCTGCAAGAGTGCTATGAGGGTTTAGGGTTTTTTTTTTAGGGTTTAGGGTTTAGGGTTTAGGGATTAGGATTTCTAGAAGGGCTTCTAGAAGGATTCCGGTAGGGCTTCTATTTAAAAAGGGGTCCTCAGCATCACCCATGTTAAGGGTCTCAAAGCTGAGGGATGTAAAGCACCCTGCTCTGTGATGCCTCTTGTATCGCGGCCTGCCTTTTTTTGGGTCCCAAAGATAGTACGGCACCCTTAAAACCCTAAACCCTAAACCCAATTTGGAGAATTGCCCATACTAAGCCCCCTCACGCTGAGGACTTGAGTTGAGGTGCCAGGATCACAACTCCTCGGGGCCCGGAGTTCAAACGACTCTTTCTCCTGGACTTTGGGGCTGAAGGGCGTTAGGGCTTTAGGGCTTTAAGGGTTGAGGGTTTAGGGCTTTAGGGCTTTAGGGCTTTAAGGCTTTAGGGCTTTAGGGGCCTTAGGGCTTAGGGCTTAGGGCTTTAAGGCTTTAGGGCTCGAGGGCTTTAGGGCCTTAAGGCTTTAGGGTTTTAGGGCTTGAGGGTTTTAGGGCTTAGGGACCTTAGGGCTTCGGACAGGTTCTTTCAGCAAGCCGGCCTAAAACCGTAAAGTCACTGAGACCCGAAGCCGTCGAAGCCCTGAACAGCGACGTCGAAAGGACGTAAAAACCTCAAAAGCGAAGACCCCGAGCCTCAATAACCTCAACTCAAGGGACTAAAGGAGAGACCCTTAAAGGGACCCTTGGGGCTATAGATGGGCTTTATGAGACTATATAAGGGTATAATAAGGGTTATATAGGGTATTAGGATTAGGGGTCCCTTCTAGACGTCCCTCCTATTGCCCCTTAATCAACCCTACACACCCCAAGGCCCCACACCCGCCAACTCCTTAAGACCCTACTCAAAGGAGGAGGGGACTTACTTATTAAGGCTACAAGTACGTATCACTAGACGTAACTACGGCTACCTTGCCAATAGCCCTACTTACTACATGCCCCCGGTCCTCCAAGCACGCTAAGCCTCCTAAACCCTAAACCCTAAAACCCTAAACCCTAAACCCTAAACGCGAAACCCCTAAACCTAAACCCTAAACCCTAAAACCCGAATCAAGAGCCCCGCCTCGCCAGTAGAAAAGAGCGACTCGAGATCCTTGGGCAAGTCGACCTCGTAGTTCCTGAAGACCTCGGTTTAGGGTGTACGATTTAGGGTTTAGGGTTCAGGGGTTTAGCATTTAGGGTTTAGAGTTTAG